TATATATATATATATATATATATATATATATATATATATATATATCTGGAAATATCCAATTTACGAAAAATTAACTGAAAAATATTTTGAGCCGATATTCCGAGTGATGCACTAACCTGATCCTGAGTAGCTTCAACCGAACGTAATTTATTCAAATCTCTCGTGATGCCTTTTGAATAATTGACAAGAATTGTTTCCGGCCCACAAGCAGCATTGCTAACTGACAAATCATTTTGTGACCGGTTATGACGAGCTGTATTTGAATTCCGAACGACCTACAAGACCAAAATTTTAATCCTAACGAAGCTTCATAAGTCTAAATTCTATGTTTCCGAACAAGAAAATTACTAAGAAGATTGGAACAATTTCAGTGCGTACAGCATTTGAAAAACTAAAAGATGCTTCAGAGTAATAACAAAATATATAGCCTAAGAATTATGTAAATCCGAAAAGTTAATAAATTATTTCACGAAAAATATATCATAAATCAAAACTGCATTTTAATTTGAATTGAATCTAACAATACAGATAGCATGAAAAGTTATTTCAGTAAATGAACAAACGATTCAAGAACAAAACTTGCCGGTTGCATACTGGTAAAGGATTTAGTCCCTTGATGAAACGATATTGAACGATTTGATGCAAACTTGTCTGCTCTGAAGTACAGTTTAACATTATAAAAATATTCATTCAAGAAAACAAATATGTTACCAACCGACAAAAGAGTCACAACAGTAACAACAAACAATGAAGCTGTGAAATAAGATGCATTATCAGGACATTCCAAATTTAGTTCCAGACAGCATATAATTTGAAACCTATATCACTGATTTCTATTCCTAGCAAAAAATTTAGCATTAATAGTTCGGAATTCATCACTTCTATCAGTAACATCATTTTATGGATCCACATAATTTTATACATACAAATCATCATGTTTTTCAGAGAGGACCTCAAAATTTCTTGGATATTGATTCCTAAGAATTTCAGGAATATCTGAACACCAATATTTAAAACCGAAACAAGCTACTTGCAATAAAGCGGACTAAGCTCTAACACAATATAGTAATATTTGACAACACAACCTTATGGATCTGCAACAAAGGAATGATAATCATGCATCTGGTTGACAAAAATTAATTATAACGATAAAAAAATTTTGAAAAAAGCTTACTCCTTTTGACAGTTCTGACATTCGTGGGAAATATTTTGTAAGCTAACATAAAATAAATATGAATTAAAATTTCAAACTCTGTCGGAAAAAAAATTTATGGAAAATTTCATATCAAGATTTTATGTCATTTCATAGATTTTTTCTTTAATAAGAATTATTGAAGATTTTATGCGGTCAATTAGAAAACACTATGCTATCAATTTGAAAACTTGTGGTAGTTTTTGCTTAGTTATGATTTAGATTTAGATGCCAAAATAACGTCATGGATCTCTTAGCACATATAGTGCTAACTATCGGAATATTGTACCTAAAGTTCTTCATCCCTCTCAGGAGTTTCCCCACCTGTTTTATTAGAAAACTTACCAAAAATTAAAGGCTGAATCTTAAAAACTGTAATTTGCTATAAACGAAACTTTGAATTGAAAATGTTCAAAATAAAAACATCGATGTCTAGATTAAAATAGTAATACAGGTATTCCAAAGAAAAAAAAAAAATGAAATTTCACCGTGCTTTCAATTGCTGCAATTTCTTTGCTTCAGCTGCTGCTTTCATTGGATTATAATCCTTACGTCGTAACCAAGCCGTCATCTCAGCACTTTCCTTATGTGCTTTTGCTCCACTAGCCTGAAAAAGTCCATTGACAATCTTGAAACGTTTTCAGAACCAGAGGAAATCGACTTCATATAGCTTCACGAGTTACGTACACCTAGAGTAAATTCAAGGCAAAGAATAATATGAAAATTTGTCATTTATACCGATATCGATGTTTTATCGATTTTATAGCATCATCGATGTTGCTAATCAACAAATATGTCGGGTAACAATTTGTTCAACAAATATGAACAATGTAATACAGTTAAATGAAAATATACTATCAGTTGAGTTTTTGTTGACTTCCGGAGCCCTGTCTTAATTTCCTCGAACGGCTAAACTAAACCCTAAACCCCTAAAGGCTAAACCCCCCTAGGTTGCATTGGATATCTGCTTACATTATGAAATCAGTAACTGGGAATTCGATTTTTCAAATGGGACTCTTTTCTGTAGTGAATTACAATTTTAATTAGATATTAAAAGTTTTTAAGGGATAAATCCACGACAATGGAAAATAGAAAATTAAAAAGGCTGAAATATAATTGATATGTGATATCCTTATTGAGGAACAGCAAGAACTAAGCTAATCATGGCCTCAGTGTTCTGTTGCAAAATGAAGTTTAAAATTCTAAATAAAAAGAAAGTAAAAGATTTTTACCTGATTTCTTCCAGTACCTCCAACACGAAATGGTGGTTTATCGTTCCGACCGACCGCAGCAGAATTTGAATGACCCTTATTGTTAACACCAGAAAATCGCATCGAATATCGACCACCATCACCACGTCTGAAATTTTGAAGAAAAAATATTATATCATATAACTCGAGTTTTAAAAAATACAGCCAAAAATTATGAAATTTTGGAATAACTCTCTTTTTCTCCTTTCAAATAGTGCCAATTTATAACAGAATATGATCATACATGATCAGCAGTGAATTTGATGAAAATTCATGTTAATAGTACTTATGCCATATTAATTGTCGATTATTAAATAATAAGTAAAACCATGCGGAAATATATAAACAACATAAAGATATCATTGCCACCCGCACTTTCAAAGAAGCGAAAAAAAACGTTATATGAACTCTCCTTTTCCTTTTTTTAGTTTAAATAAAATTAATACTATAAAATCTATAGCATGCAGAAGTGTTACATTTCTTATGTCATACAACAGATAACTGAACTGAACAAAGTCCATGCTTTTAGTCCATGCTTATCGACGAAAATGCAAATCACATGCAAAATTACAAAAGACAACTGAAAAAAAAAACAGGAAATTTGAGAAACTCTTTTCATTGATATTCTGTTTCTTCATTCAAATGGATATGTTTTTTCAGGGGGAATAAGCGATTTCTTTTCTTTTTTTTAATGAATTAAACATGTGATACAAGCAACAGTTCTATTAGAAATAACGAAACATACGAAACAGAGACACCTGTGTTCTCCTTTCAATAAATAAGCGATAACAAAATGAATCTTTGATAATTACTAGCTACCAGCCAATATCATTCTAATACGAATTTTTTCCTTTTAGATAAGATCCAGTTTTAAAAATTGGACAGATCTAACCACAGCAATTATCATGAAACAAATAATATACATGCAGATAATAAAAAGGAATAACAATACAATACAAAAATACTCACGTTTCACTGCGACATCTCACTGTCTTCCTTTAAAGTGAAAAGAAAAAGTCAGTGAGAAATGATAAAAGTTTGGCTATTTCAAAATTTAATTGTCAACAGGAATAAATTATTTATGTGACGGAAAGTGAAAAAATTGATCTAGAGATTAATTAATATTTAATTTTCTTTTGCATTTCTTTTGTAAATTACTGCCAAAAGTTCATACGAATTAATAGAACGAAAACGTAACGGTTACAGAAAAAAAGTTTTATTTATAACATTATAATGCCTCTCAGTATTTTAGTACCATAATGCTGTTTTCGCTTCAGTGCTACAATGCCGTTCTAGAATTCCATTTAATAAAGCATTTGATTTCAAATCTCAATGAAACTTTTATGAAATTTTTTATCAGCCGTAGTGAAAAGGTACAAAAGATCAGGAATTATTAACCATGGAGCATTCCCAAAAGCTTCCGATAAATTTTGTTTTATTTTTTTCGACTAAACTTTCAGTACAACTCATATCGGGCATGACTTAACCAAGATATCTTGAGTTTCTTCCGGGGAAATCTACTTATGACTATTTGAAATTAGCAGTCATATTACCGCAAAGATGACTTTAAAGATTACGCATAGTGTCAACAAAGTATATATATATATCGATAGCATGATCTGTCATTATCATATGATTTATCAAATCATAGGAGACATCTTGAATAAAGAGTGGCGTATCAAACAATATAAACATAAAGTTTACAAAGAGCAGTTACTATCGCTCTGCAGTTGTAATCATGTGAGCTTTTTAACAAGGTAAAAATTGCAAGATTTGGCATCCAATTTTCGTTAATTATTAAAAGCACGGATGATGGTGATGACGGTGTAATGTACAGTTATTAAAATTAGTTATGAAGAATGGTTAACTTTGATTAGTATTTTTCATCAGTTTTCTGAATTCAAAAACAAAAGTATCTAGAAAAACTGGAGTTATTCACGATATATTATTAATTTAACCCAACATAAATACCTGAAGGTATTTTCATTTATTCCACTTGCAACAATAATTGGTTGTGTACGATGTACTTGGGATGACAGCGATGCACGTGAAGATGATGCCATGGTACATAAACGATGCGAACTACCTTGACGTTCCTCCATCTTAGAAGTTTCTGGACGACATGCAACCCGTACATGAGTTCGTGCTGCAGCAGTCAGACGGGATGAGTTCGAAGCCGGTGATGTAGATGGTGCAACAATTTGATGTTCACTTGTACCGCAACGCTGATCAACTCGCCCGGACTTAAGACGCAGCAGCTCACGTAAGAGATGTTCATTATTTTCAGTTCCATCACCTGTGTTACTTACATTCTCATTGATTTGAGGCAGGATCTGAAACAGAAAGTTAAGACACAAAACATGAGCATGTGCAAGTAAAAATGAAGAAAAAAGACTGACGAGCCATCCAAAATATTGTTTGATTTGATTACAGTGATCTATTATAAAAACATTTAAAAAAATACAACAGACGATCCTTAAAACAACTGAAAGTTATAGAAATTACCTACCGATCCCATGCGCACTGGCACAGTAGGACGAGGATTTTCTGTGCTTTGGGTTGTTGTCGATTCACTGAAAAATATTGAAACAAAAGTCAAATTTTTATGGAAAATTAATATCACTAAGATTAATAAAAAAATAGATTAATAAAAATATTCATTACTGAGGCTAATTCGAAGATTATTTACTATAAACATGGACATATTTTAGTTTACACCAATAAAAGAAAAACGATACCTTGAAACACTTTCTGCATCCGAATCTTTGACAGTCTGTGAAGTCACCATCTGATTCATATGATCACCATCTTAAAATAAGTCATGTTCAGAAATATCAGATGAACTATCATGTACAACGCTGAAGAATGACAATGAAATATTAATATCTGTCCTTCCCGCAGGCATGCGTCTATATGAGTTATGTGAATGGCGAAAAGCTGAAAATCATCACAGATCGAAAAAGAAAAAACAGCTAATAATGTAGAAGGAAAAATCAATCAAAATGCAGCTAATCTGATCGAAATGATGAAATGAAGTGTTGCGTAATTTTTATAACTGATATACATATAATATGAAATTTATTGTTGAAATCAAATATTCATAATGTTTCCTTGAATGAAAAAATTGCTCATTAACAATATTAATGAATCTCTGGTAAAGGTTAAAGTTTGGCGTTTTTATCGAATGCTGTTAAATATATCATGTGCTTTTTGTAACACTTAATTAAATGCTAACCAACAACATAAGTCCCTGCTTCGCTTAATGTATCGTCAGTATCTGGTTTCCTTCTTCCTTGTTCGCAGGCAATTATATCTGGCTCTTCACTGCATTCTGAAAGATAATGTACAGTTGACATAACGGTTTTCAAAACAAGCTGTTCGAATTCAGCACTTATTTCTTGTTTTAAATTCGGGAAACTTCACCTCTACTTGAAAAAATGAACACAGAACTGTGATGCACTAAGTGGAGCTACACGAGGAGTTATGTTGAAAAGTATAATCAAAACTGGAAAATTTTCCGAAGAGCTACTAAATTAAAATGTGTGATTAAGAATTCAGCTTTACTTAGCTTTCCTACCAAACTAAAATTTAAATTTAAATCTCTCCTACCTTCACCAATCCCCATCAGCATCTTATTCAACAAATACTGCTTCGGATTACTGGACGCAGCTGTTAAACCGGCTATTTTCGCTGCGGTACCTTTGGAAAGTATTCTAGCTGGCGGCATACTTCGCCTCATTAAAAGTCTAGAAACATGCATTTTCAATGATGTTGTTACTATGAAACATCCTACCAGTTCTCGTACTGAAAACCGTAAATGACATGCTGCAAATAGCAAAAATATGAAAATATCCAGGTCAGTCTACAATAATGACAGAACTCATAAAATCCAACTTAAAACTTGAGGTTGGAACTCATAATTTCGAAATAAAAAACAATCTATAAGCATTGCTATTGCCATAGGCATTAAAAGTGAGATTAGCCAAATTTTAAATGATTTCACTTACCTGGATGAAGTTTTCTTAGCAGCATCTTGAAGTGATAAATTTACTTTTTGTGAGTCTTCTTCACTGTCGAAGGAAACAGTAAATGCAGTTGAAGAAAATGTACGTTGTGCAGCTAAAATTTGAAGTTTATATTAAAGTTTAAATTAGAATTCCAAACTTGAGTTAGCGATAGTTTATTAAATCCAAAAAATTCCTCATCTAGAATAGTTAACATCTTAGTCGATACTAAAAGTAACCTTTCGCTTTATTCTCTTTCTTTACTTCTTCATCGACAAAAGGCTCATTCAAGTCAATATCCATCCTAATCGATTTTAATGGCCGATGGACACTTCCGGCAACCGCACTCCTATAATAAATGAAAATTCTGAAGTCTTGTTCGAAGGTTATTTCAGCAGAAAGTAAACTGAAAAATAAACCGAGTATTTTTACCTTGTGTTCTCGCTATCACTTTGTAATTGTACATTGGAAGCATCGTTTTCACCCCACCATGCTGGTGCGGCACCAAATAACGGGGTCCTTTTACCTTCTTCCGTTTGAGCCTATAAAAAAAGAAAAAATCATACAGCTACATGCTAGTTTTAAAAATCTAAAATTAATTAACTTCAATTCCCTTCTAGTAAGTGTCGTTTCTCTGTTACTGCTACTTGTTAAGAAATCTACTACGGCTGATGTCAATACTGTTGATAGAATTGTCTTGCAAAATCCCAAATTTTCATTTCATAAAAAGTCCAGCAATATATTCACACTTACATGTCCTACAGTAGTGGCGCTGGTGGAAATGGCTGGCTTACTAGCAGCTTCCTGATATGTGGTCTCCTGTGAGCGTATTTGTGCGTGGGGCTTTTGCAGACTACTCAATGGTGTAGCTGACAAATTGTCCAGTACTGAGCAATTTTGGGACAAAACCGGTGAAGACTGTGGCGGTGAAAAGGCTGAAAGAAATTTATGCTATGCCACATGCATGCTATACTATGCTACATGCAATTAAAGGGAAAAAGAAACTATTTAGGTTTCATGATTTGTGTTCCGAATCCAATGACTACAAATAAAACTCATAAAGTCTAAAAACGATTTACAAAATCAAATATGCTGGTATAAAAATTACAGTTTTTTGAAACAAGGATCTGTTTTGCATCCATTGCACATCCTACTGTCGACGTTAATGGATGTTTGAAAACCATATGCCTTTCGTCGGTTGTTACTGCCGATCTGAAAGCAAACAAACCAATACTGCAATCAAATAAATTATAGAAAGATTTCTAATTATCAGATATACGTGCGGATCTCTAATTGAATAACTGCTGAGTTTGAGTGCATCAAATAACTCCTTACGCCAATCTTTTGAAGTAGACTATTTTCAACAGATCTACATAGCACTTTTGCAGCCAGTATTCGACTCTAAAATCATAAGATTTCAATAGAGAAAAGACCTACCTTGTGTCGTCGAAATCAGCAACACTGCGTACAAAACATCCAGTGATACTCTGAACAGCCGTCGGCGGTGGTGGCGTTGAAGAAAAGCGCTGCCCAAGTGTCATATGTGACGATGTTATCTGACTCCCGGTTTGAGCAGCGGTTATTGGTGTAGCAGCTACGACATATGTACCTGTAGTTAAGAACTCGCTTTAGTTTTCAACTTTCCTTCAACAGAGTCAAAATTTCAACGTATTTGAAAGGGAAAAGATAAGGTGAACCAAAAAAATGAGTTCTTCGGCATAATTATACATTAAAAATTTGAAGCAACCACAAAGTCGAAAACTACGAAGAACTATGAAATAGCACAATAGGAAGTAAACTGACTTCTTTCAGGTAGTGTTAAAATTAACATATTTTATGTTATCTTCTTCGCACCGTTCATATAAAAGCATTTAATGTAACTTATAGCAAGGAATTCCAACGAGCTAACCATGGGCTCCAGATGTAAAAGGATGATAATAAACCGGCTGTGCCGGTGTAGCAGAGTAATAAACCGGCTGGTAGATTATTTGTGGATGTGGTGTTGGTGGTGTAGAAGATACCAAAAAATGCTGACCGGTTGCTGGATCAATCAAAATCTGATGACTACCAAGTGGAGCAGCTGTTGATGTACATCTTTAAACTTTTAAATTCAGCATATATCGAAAACGTCAAGTTGAAGTATACCACGGACACTGGATAATTGGAAAGTCCGGAATTCTCGAAAAATTTGTAATTATAATAACTTCATAACTGCTCTGGGTTTCAAACTTATCTCTCTACCAATCTTACGGTATCAACCAAGCAATTCATTTGATTTGCTGTATTTTATATTTGAAAGAAAAAAGTGGTAGAAATGAACTTTTAATAAACGATGCAACTGAATGAAATTTAGGCAAGAAAGGGATTAAATTATATTTCAAAATTAAAAGCTATTGATAAAGTGCACGATTCTAGTAAAAGTATTCTAATATATCTCCAATATATATAGTAGCATTCCAATATTCTAATGTAAATCCTAATATCGCTATGTACAAAATCATTTCATGAATGTAAAAGAATTTTTGAACTAGAATATCTAATACGAATGAATAATTCTTTTTTTCCTGATAAGAGAAGTAAACGTTTAAAATACATTTACATTTGTAAACTCATCAACAGTAACGATTTTGCTGCTCTTAATCAAGCACTCGTCACTCCAAAAATATCCCGTCATAATAACTCTGCCCGAGAGATGATGTTATATAATGTACAACTTTGGGTAAACTTTTTTATATTAATATAAATATTACCATTTAAATTACATTCATTATAATTGCGATAATCTATTAATATGTTCACGCAGTCCATTTCGATTAAAATTAAAAATAAGTATTTAGTAAAAGCTAGCTTACATTTGCGATATTGTAACGGGTATTGTAGTAGTAGTTTGTTGACTAGTAATAACTGCTGGTGATGTTGCCGGTGTAATATCGTGCATCAGCGATATCGGAGGAGAAATCGATGAATGGGTGGAACCAGCACTCGGACTTTCCTGGTTCTCAGAACCCTGTATAAACACAAACATTAAATGGGGATATTATAGCAGGAAAAAATTATGTAATAAAGCCATAGTTATAAACTATTCAATTTTACGGAAACTAACCACATGAAAAAATTACTCAATTATTTGCAAATTTCAATAAACAATGCTAACTCAAATTTTCTGTTCATTTTATTTATCCACAAATCACTTCCAAAAATTCAAGAATAGAAATTTAGCATTTTACTAAGGTTCAGCTAAATTAAGCCGAAAATCGGTACTTTTGGAAGCATCCTTCCCTTCTTTATAAAAGTCTTAAAGTTTATGCATAATGTCACATTATTTTTTGAAACCACGTATGTCAACTTTTACAACAAAAGAAACATACAAATGTACACATAGAAAGAAAATAGCCTGTGAGACAAAATCAAAAGCCGCTTTAGCAAATATCACTCAAACGATAACTGGGCTTGAACGAACAACCTGACATACTGTTAAACCAAGTGATTTGTTATTCTCTCCTTAAACATTATTGGAGACCGCCTATATCTTCTTTTAAAGTCAGCGTACCTGATCCCAAAGCAATCCCCGAACACTCTCTATAAATGATAAAATTTTCTCTTCAAATACATATTTTTCTTTCTCCATTTATATTTTCTGAATTTAAATTTCAGTGGTACTTTTTCCCGAAAAAATTCCATATTCTAAGCAACATTTCTGGCCATATTTAGTTGAATATGTTGAGAATTGAAGATAAAATTTAATATTTGTACGGAATATAATTTAAGGGAACCAACTGAGCACAAAGCCAGTTCCCAGACTAAGATTTTTCAAAGCTACACCGACATGAAGACAATATATTTACTTTCAAATCAAAAGAAAAAAGTTTTTTTCAATTCAAAAAAAGTAAGTATGCAGTTAACAGTAAACATGCCTGTTAATATCATGAAGATCTCACGTTTAATGACAATTAACATTGATTATAGCTTAAAAAATTTGTTTTGTTTATTATAGGTAAATATCAATTCGTCCAGTCCACGGATGGTAACGATTACATGTTAGTGTATGTGTTTATCTGCCTGTCTGTCTGCGTGTACCATATGCTTCAAGCAAGTTGAAAAGATACCAAATAATAGATGCAACGACATGACCACTAAAATACGTCATGGTTGATGGTCCATTGTTAGGATGCCATTACGCGATGACTT